TACCGTATACACTCGCGTAGGTCCTATAAGGCTGTCTCTTATACACATCTAGATGTGTATTCCCCCTTTAGCTGATGTGAGGTAAGAGAGTTTATTTAAAAGATAACAGTTACATTTAATAATTTAAATTGTTCGGATGAAATACATATTTTTTATGAAGTTCAATGCAAGTTTGTACCATACTGTGTTTTTTTGTATATGTTCCATTCTAGTGGAGGTTCTATCTCTTTTGAATTTCTTTTGAATATAAATTAAATACTGTACTTAATTGATTTATTATTGCCCACTTGAATTGTATAGCCCTAGGTGCTGCCGTGTTCTTTATGTAGAGCGCCATATCTAAATGCTCGATGTGCTTATCCGGCTCCGATGGCACCTCCAATTTCAAGCAAGTGTTGCAGAGACTCTGGAGTTAGGTTGCATATGAGAATGAAGAAGATAATTTTGATAGCAACATTGATTTATTGCTTTAAGTACTGCGACAATAACATTCAGAGGCGATATACACATCTAGATGTGTATAAGAGACAGTATATATATAAAACGTGTACTGATGCATATTTACACTGTCTCTTATACACATCTAGATGTGTATAAGAGACAGGGGGGGGGGGAGCCGTTATGCGAATTACGTATGCCCCGGCGGGGTCAAGGGGGCGAATCCCCCTGTGAAGTACGCACTTTGAACATTCTTAGGACTGTTTGAGAGGATACAGTGAAAATTGCAATAGACGCATTATAAATAAGCGAAAAAATAATTATATAATAAATCAACAGTGGCAGATCCAGGAATTCGAAAGAGAGGTGAACCAGGGAGGGACTTTCACAGACCGAGGAACCACCCACCTCAGCCCCACCATGGTTGGGCCTGAGGTAAGAAAATTTATGATTAGGGCATCTCTAGATGGCCGGAAATTACACTCTCGCACTTCAATTTGAATATATTTTTCCTTTTTTTTCCTTAAAAAAATTAAGGGGGTGCCTTGAATCCACCTCTGCTCAAAACATTCTTTATCCAGAATAGTCATAATCACGAATAATGGACATGAAAAACCAGATCACATCCTAAAAACAAACAGCAATCACTAAGACGTACATCAGTAGCCGACTCGATGGAGTTTAATGTCATACCCAGGGAAGGGTACAGATCTGTTTTGAAAGGTGGAGGGGGACGGCATTTTGTAAGTTGACACCCACCCAAGCCCCACAATGGTTGGAGCTGAGGTGAAAAAATTTGAGGAAATAGTACCTCTAGATGGCCAGAAATGACACTTTTAGTAAAATTCATCATCATCACATCACCATTAGTCAAAATGAAGCGCCAAAAGAAATTCTCATGATCTTTTATCAGGGATTTTTGACAACTATAGAGATCTTATTAATGTGTGTGTATACACCATAGAAAACCAAACTTAAAAACATTGTCTTTGAGTATGTACTTTACATAGGCCTACTTCAAAAACGTGATTTCACAACCACCTCAGCCCCACCATGGCTGGGGCTGAGGTGAGAAAATTTGAGGAAATAGTACCTCTCGAGCTGGCCGGAAATGACACTTCTATATAATAAAATTCATCATCACATTACCATTATAGTCAAAATGAAACGCCAACAAATTTCTCATGATCTTTTATCAGGAATCTACTTAATATCCAGGACAACTTACGCCTAATTATAGCTTACTAAGCTTTAACTATATATACGTAGTATGATCAACAAATCATAACTTTTTTTTCGCATTTAGCACAATTTTCTTCACTTTTTATTGCTATTAATATTATTATCAATTATTACTATGTCATTATCATCATTGTTATTATTATTATTACTATTAGTAGTAGTATTATTAAACAAACATGATCTTTTATCAGGGATTTTTGACAACCATAGAGATCTTATTCTTATTAATGTGTGTGTGATATACCATAGAAAAAAAGCTTAAAAACATTGTCTTTGAGTATGTACTTTACATAGGGGTATTTCAAAAACGTGATTTCACAACCACCTCAGCCCCACCATGGCTGGGGCTGAGGTGAGAAAATTTGAGGAAATAGTTCCTCTCGAAATGGCCGAAATGACACTTTTATATATAGTAAAATTCATCATCATCATCATATTACAATTATAGTCAAAATGAAACGCCAATAAATTTCTCATGATCTTTTATCAGGGATCTACTTAATATCCAGGACTACTTAGGCCTAATTATAGCTTACTAAGCTTTAACTATATATACTATATTATGATCAACAAATCATAACTTTATTCCGCATTTAGCACAATTTTCTTCACTTTTTATTGTTATTAATATCAATTATTACTCTCATCATCATCATTGTTATTATTATTATTATTATTATTATTATTATTATTATTATTATTATTATTATTATTATTATTATTAGTAGTAGTAGTAGTAGTAGTAGTAGTATTATTAAACAAACATTTAAAGAAACTTCCAAAAGGATAAAAACAAAATTGAACCACAGTATCGCATTTCAATCTTAAAAGACCTGGCCTGAGATTTATGGATTTAAGATTTTTTTAAATCACGCTTAGGCTTATATGTTCTATTAGGCCTATGTATAACGTGTACTGATTCATATTTACATGTTTAGAAGTATTCATTTTAAGTGATCCCAGGAAAGAATTTGAATTGGCTCAAGAATAAGCCTTAAAATTTTAACACTGTGTACAAAGGGGGGATTGGCTCAAGAATAAGCTTTAAAATTTCAGCAATGTACAAAAAGGGGGGGGGGGGGAGCCGCGGCTCCCACCCTGGATACGTCCCTGCTGTGCTACCCGGTAACCCGGTACCAGCAACTCTCATCGCCCACCACAGGGGCTGTCTGTTCTATTACACCGGGGTATCTTCTACTTGTCTCGAAGGATGTACTGGGTTTTTATAGTGCACACGAACCATTGTATACACTGGGCCTACGGTTTATAGTCCTTATCCGAGAAAACTTGTTCTACCACCAGAACCATTAAGCGAGCGTGCCGTTCGAACAAGCGCCAATCTTGCGGCGCCCTGCTATCCGCTCGGCCATTTGACTCACCTAATACAATACCAAATTCAATGAAATGATCTTTAATGTATACAACGAAGCCTTGCAAAAGAAAAAAATGTGTTTCATGCATCACAGCCAAACTTGTTTGCAGCCAAAGGGTGTTGTTATACAAGGAGCCTTTTTTTTTTTTTTTTTTTTTGCTTCAAGCATTTTACAAATTGACAAGTGCATAAATGCCCTGTGGGGTGGGGGTAATTATTGATGATTTCATGACGATGAAAATCTGTTAACCAGACATAAACTAATGATGTTAATTCTTTATACAAATTGGAAATTGGATATTTGACCTGGAGGCCTGTGACAGCCGCAGTGCAGCGCCACCTGACTTAACTATATTAAACAGACACAAACAGACACAAACATTTTCCTTAACCCGCCAAAACGAGAAGCAAGCAATCAGACTCCAATAGACCTTTCCGCTAAGCTCCGCCCCTTGGATTTTGTTGCTAAGGTCTCACAAGACGGCAGTGTTAAAACATACGCGAACACGTGCGTTTGTGGGACAACACGTGTGTTTGTGAGACGCGCGCGTATTTCTAGCGTTGTTTTGATTAGTCAGTTGTTAAGTTTGATTGACACTCCGGAAAGGTCTATTAAAACCCGACGCTGGCCGGGTTTAAACCAGGGTCTACAGCACATGAAGCAGCCAACCAACCAATCAGTTAAAATAGGCATACATGCAATTGTATTTTAAATATTTTTATTTTTAAATAATGTTCTTGCTAATTATAATATTGGTCTTTTGTAATAGTATTAATTAACATGTATAGTTTTTTTTATCCTTAGTATCTAAATTTTCATTAATTTACTCATACAGTACTTATAATTCTTGTTGTGTATTGTTCTGTTTGTTGACCTTTATATTTTATACGTTATGCAAGCATTTTAGCTGTGTGCTACTGCTTTGTATTTGTCGCTTTTATACTTCAATATATAAATAAATAATAAAATGTGAATTAAAATTATCAAAATTTTATACAACAAATATATTTGATTTAATAAAAATTGCTTTAATTACCTATTATTATGTTGTTTTAACAGGTTATTACCAAAATGGCAAACTCCATCAATGCTAGCAAGCACAAGCAACCAGTTTCAGGAAAAGGTTTTCCTGGTATTGAACCTCAAATCCATGCCAAAGGTATTTAATTTCTGTTAGTTTGTCTTTACTGTACTGCTATTACTGCTGCTGTAACTACAAGTTCAGTTTCTATTGTCACATAAAATGTTTACATGAAGTTCTTTTTCCAAGGTTCAATATTAATAGGTCCATGTTCCAACATACATATAAATAAACTTAAATATATAATCCACTGGCTGCTGTATTCTTAATTTAACATTAATTTTACTGATTTTGTGGTGTATTGTTGTTCATGAGACTCACTTCACAGAAAAAATTAATAATTTTTCTGTATCTACTCAAATGTTCGTTTTGTGCACCTTAGTCCAACATTGTCAAAATGACAGTTTAATGTTACATAAGAACATGAAATTTATAAAATTCGTAAATTTTCAATTGCTTAAAACTTTTCATTTTCTTGGTCAATTTTCACAAATCAAATTGCAGTTTATAGAAGCGTTTAACAAGCTTCCTTTGACCACGAGCTTGTTAAATGGAGGGGTATCCTCGGCGAGGGGGAAAAGGTAAACATAGGGGTCACAAGTATCCCTGAACTCGCGGGAGTCTCCCGGAAATCGGGACGATCTCCTGCACTCCCGCAGGCAACCAGGAATTATCAGCTTCATCATAGAAGTCAATGACTATGTGCAGCAAAATAAAATTAAATGTGTATAAAAAACAGCTCATTAACCAGATCAGAGGGTGGAAGGGGGATAGAAAAGAAAATTATTTTCAAATTTAAGTCTGAGAGGGCCATTTCTAGACGTGTCATAATCATCAGTTTTCCTCCCTCAGCTCGATCTATGGTGGCGCTGAGGTTGTAGCTTCCTCTATCTGTGAAATGTTCCCCCACCCTTCAACCCGCCACCCAAGATCTCCCGGAATGACGTCTTCCAAATTGGGACCCATGGTAAAGGGGGCTCGATGACTTAGTGAAGGGGCTGCTAGCTCACATAAAAAGGTGATATGATTGTTTTGTGTCCACCACCATTATTATTACACCATCACCTGACCTCCTAATTATATCAATGGTGTTGGTAATGTATTGTTACTAATTTATTTTTATCATAAATTAGGTCTTGAAAGTGATCAGAAAGGTGGAAAAGTCTATGAAGATCTTTTGTATAGCAACGTCCAGTGCTGCGCAGTTGATAGTGGTGAATTGGTGGTGTCAGAAACAGTCAATGGACAAATCCATTTCTATTCTGGAAACCCTAGTGTGAAAAGAGTTAACCACGTACGCAAGTAAGTTTTAAAATTTGATTTAATGTTAATGTTTGATTAATGTTTAATAATATTAACCAACTACTGTCAGGTTTTTTTGGGGGGCACTCTCTTAAAAAATATGATACCAATGAGCCATTATTTCTTGAAAGCAGAGTGAAGTTGTAGCTTTTATAAATCAGTTGTGTATTCGCTCTAGAGGTAGGTATTTAATTATAGTTATTTTCTTGAATCATGTAATTGTATATTTCCTGTGTTGTTTTTAGAGAACAGATGATACCTTTGACAAATGAAGTTCCAGAGAGGAAGATGATTTTCATGGTTGCTGTTCCAGCATCGCTTAAAATACATGACATTGTCCGGTTTATAGCGCCCTCAGCTGAAGGGATTGAACTTTTGAAAATCATACGTGATGCCTCTTCCAACCAGGACATGGCGATTGTGGAGTTTAAGAATGCTGTAAGTTGTTATCATTTGTAATCTGTATCATCGTCTACATTATTGTAATATCTTATCATCATCAGGACATTTTCATATGTTGTCAAATAATAAAATGAACAAGCATTTAATAGAAATCTTCTCAGTATTGAGGACAGAACATGATTGAAGTCGTGATAAAACATTTTCCGTGGGTTGTTTTATCGTTTAGATTTAAAATGGACTTTCAATCATGAGGATGTAGGTTTGAGTCTACATGTTGTGAATGATGGATTCTGTATCCAATGACCAGAGAAAAGACCCATGAGTGGTTATCTGGATATGTGCGATATATAAAACTTATAAAGTAATTAAATAAAAAAATACCTTTTTCAAATCAACACCACAGTGATAAAAGGCTTCATCTCTCTTGCAAACTGTCCTTGCTATTTTTAAAATTTGACTTTACAGAAGGTTGAGAAAATCATGTTTTTCTGATAGACAATTTTACATAGCTTACATATAATTTGATTGTGAAAATAGTCATCTAGTTCCAAAAGTGCAGTATGAAATGATCTGTTTTGTTGAACCGATTAGTTGTTTACCTTACCAATGGTTTCAGTAACTGCTTCGGTCTCTTTCTTCAGTCTAATGAACTTTTGTTTCTACTGGGTCATTCACGCTTTGGTGAGTGAGACGCCAACACAAGTTTTGTCCCAGTGCCCCTCTTGTGTTCTCTGTTTGAATAATAGGTCCAGAATCAAAGAACACAGAACCGATGTTGAAAAGCACAAACAAATATTACACAAATCTCAGGTAACTGTCCAAGCTGTTGCAAATAATCATACACCAAAATAGGAAATTTTCCAGGTCCTGGACAGAAAAACACTGGAAAACGAAGCAGTCTGGATCCATGAGAAGGGTTCATTAGCCTGAAAAAAGGTGACCAAAGTAGTTGCTGAAACCATTGCTAAGTTAAGCAATTAAATGGTTCAACAAAAAAAGTAACTTACAGAAAAATGTCTCCATTATTATTTAATGTATGTTCTTGCATTTCCTTTTCTTTACGTCTTCAGCGTTTAGCTGATGAGTTTTATTCTCAGTACAATGGAAAGGTGTTCAATTCAAATGATAATCAGCCATGTTTCCTGAAATATGTTGCTTTTGTGGAGGTTGGTAACAAAACATTTTTGAAAGTGATAGTACAAAGGTCATTGTTTACCAAATTTACAATCGTCAACTATATTGTCATTGTGCTGTCATACCATCTCCACCACTGTCGTTATCATCAAGATGTAAATAATATTTGTTAATAATAGTTAATAATTAAATTCAATTGGGTTCATAATAATTGTACATAAGATTTCTTTATTTTTATATTCTTCTTAGTTATGTACTTTTTTGTCTAATCTCAAATTGAAAATAATAAATATTACATAATTCTAATTAATTGTTTAATTGAATTGTGAATACACATACTGTTCTAAGTATATTTCAAAATTGTAGTTGAATTATAAATTACTAAAAAATATTAAAAACCTCATCAATGAGTTATATACATTCATCCTGGAAAAAACACTGCAATTGGAAGCATTTCTCTGTTCAACTATGCTGATTGGTAATTTGTTTAATAACGGTGATAAATATTGTGTTTTTTATAGAGAGGAATGCCAGAAGTTACCAAATTCTGCACCATCTGCTCTGGAAGATTCGATGATGCAGGGAATATATATATCGTGTTGCTCTGCGGTCACACATTTCATGCCAGCTGCCTTAGTCCAGTGAGAGAGAGGTAGCATACACACAATGTTAATGTAATGATCAGAATGATTATCATCATCATGACTATCATAAGTATCTTATTATCACTATCATCATAATTATGAATATTTTAACAACTGTCATCACCACCGTCAAAAACATCTTGGTAATTAAAGCTTAAATGGGAGGCTGTTGTGTTTGTTTCAACTGAAAAACGATTCTTATTGTTTGTTGATTAGAATCATTTTAGAACTAAATTTGATGACCTTCTTTATTTAGTCTTCTAATACAAAGTTGTAAGTTCTCTGGTGGACAATGCCCATGCCTTACTATAAGCATACCCTTGGTTATCAAATCAAATCAAATATACTGTACTTTTATTTTTCATACAATAAAGTAGTGCAATATACAATAAGAATGCAAAAGAATTGAAAAAAATACATTGTATGGAAGGAGGCTACTGCCCCTCCCCTGACGGTTTTTACCAGGCTGACCAAGCCGTCGTATCGGGCTGTGTTAAGAGAAGAGAGAGAGGGGAGAGGGAGGGAAAGAGAAAGAAGAGGAAAAGAAAAGGAAAGAAAAAGAAAAGAAAGGAAAGAAAAAGAGAAGAGAAAAATAAAGACAAGAATAAAAAGGAAGATATCATAATGACCAGACTCACAACACCCTGCAACTCCTTCTCCACTTCAAAAACTGTCATAACTCCTTTGATCTATGCTGCCCGATGGCGTAACCACTGGGGGACAAGGGGAAAATATCTATCTTTGAAAAATCTTCCCTCACCCCTTTATAAATGCCCTTTCATCCCATAAAAGTGCCTAAAAACCTCAAATTTCGCGAGCATTTCTTGTTAACATGGCCCAATTCCCTCTAAAAATTGCACATTTTAGGGAGTTTTGATCAATTCCAACGAAATTAGAATTAAAAACACCGGGGGACAAGGGGAAAATATCCATCTTTTGGAAACATTTCCCCATCCCTTGACAAATGCATCCTCTGAAAGTGCCTAAAATTCTCAAATTCTTTGCGTGCATTTCTTGTTACGGTAGGCCAATTTCCTCTGTAAATTGCACATTTTAGGGAGTTTTCATCAATTCCGATGAAATTAGAATGAAAAACACAAAAATATTTTGCGCGCTTGGCGCGCATTTTTTAGTTTTATCCTTTTAAGTTATTTAAACACATAATAGTCCCAAACTCAAGAAAGATAAATTTAAGATAGATCATTTTAACCTAAAAGAAGGGCCTCAATGTGTATAGATGGTGAAAGAATATGTTTGTAATAAATAAAACCATGATGAAAATGCTTATATTTAGTTTCAAACACACGTGTGTGGCCTATATTATAAATAAGATAAGCCCTATGTCGTATTGT